TCAGGTCTCTGTTAAGTTGTATATTACTCAACTCACTAAGTAATGTATTAGATAGTTAATCTGCAGATCTAAGATGACATCTATGTGAATCTCAATAGGCGAAGATATAATATATTCCCAATAAGGGAAGACTTAACAGATTTTTTTTTTAATGTTCAATGTTTGCATTGGAATCCCCATGACCAAAATTGTAAGGAGAAAGTCGTAGTCATCGAAATAGGTGTAAGGTAGGTGGGAAACAAATGAATCAAATCATAATCCATTGACTTGGTAGCTTGAGACATTCAGAACTTGATTTTTGAGTTGTAAGATGGGGCTCCTTATCTCTTAAAATGACAAGAAATAATATGATAGTCATGTTCTTGTGTTTGAATGCATAAATATCATCACATTGATAATGAATAACATCTATGTTGTAAAATTATGGTAGGCTTAGAAAGTTGTGTCGTGTACATGGATAGGACAACACCACTAAATTTGATCTTCATAATTACTTAGTTTAATTGGTACTAGACACGATCGTAATAGAGATGTATTGACTTAGCTAATACATATTGATCTAGGATGGGTCTTAGGCTTTATGTTAGCCTTTGTGAGTGCACTACCATCATCAATATTTAATTGGCACCTTTTGATATCGGAGTTAATCCAGACAACGCAGTAAACAAATATTAGTACTGAAAAGGCCAATAGGTGATTACAACGATCACAAGAGAAGGAGAAAATTACAACAGATACAAACAAACTCAACTTAAGTTTAACCAAGGGTGGTGACCAGTGAAGGAGGTTGGGAGTTGGTTGTAGGTGCAACAAGGAAGGGGAATGCTGGTTGGCAGTAGGGAGAAGGTTAGTGGTTGTGGACTGTAGTGGGGAGGTTGCAGGTGGCTGGGACGACAATTAGGTGGCAGAGAACGTGTTTGAGAGGGCTAGAACAACAACTAGGATGCATGGGAAGGGATTCTGAGAGGCTAGGACAGCATATAGGTGACAGGAGAGCGGTCAGTTGGATGCTGGAAGGCGACAACGAGGGATGGAAACAAGCTGGGAGGGGCTGATTGTAGGTGGTTGTGGGAAATTAGCTAGGTGACTGCAACAAGTATGGCGACGATTACAACAGAGGGAAGGTTGCCGAGGATGTGGAAAGGTCGAGGATAGTCACCACCTCGGATGAGATATAGTTGGAGCACTATCTATCTTCAGATAAAGCACTTAAGGAAAAACCTAGACGTTGATGATTGTCTTGACAGAAAACATGAAAAAAACTAACATAGACACGACAAAGACAACATATATAGATATAGGGCAACAAAAGAATGGAACCCACCACCCATAGGTGACAATCTATGCTTGGAATCCTCTGTCTGGACTGAACTGTCCTAGGTCAGGAGACGTGACATTTTGCCGCACTTGGGCACTGGATGCCCCGCAGCAGCCTCCCGGATTTGGCAGAGCTTCGATCTCATTTATTGAAGCTTCTGTTTGCACGTTGAGGGGGTCAGAGTTGTTGTAAACCTCACAAGATTGAAGGATCTTGAACTACGCCCGTCTGGATCCCATTGTTGGCTTTACTATTCCCCAAAACATCTGAGGAGTTTTTCTCAATTTCGAGCAACCATCTATATCTGTCCAACCATATGAGATTACACCGTTGAATTGAACTGGAACTTCATGCCAAGTGCGCCCTGTAGAGTCTTGCAAAGGTAGCGTAAGTTTGGCTCATCCCTATCTGATGTGAGAAAAAATTGCACTCCCTCTAATGGTGGCACTAAGATATTAATCATGATGTCCTAAAATACTCTCTGCAGTTGTAAGGTATCAATCATGATGTCCTGAAATTCTCTCTGGAGTGACTGTACTGTGCTTGGAATAAGTGTCTTTGTCCTTCTATCTTCTATCATTGCCAAAGCTGATCCTATCGACGCTTCTCCACTGATAGGAACATCTGTAACCTCAGACTCTGCAGAAGGTAGGAGAACTATGCACTTTCTTTTCTTAGTGAATGAGTAGTTGCTAATTAATCCATTGTGTTGACTTCGACAATCAAACTCTCACAGTTTGCCCAATAGAATGTGACAGGCTTCCATGGGCACCATGTCGCACCATACTTTCCGATGGAAAAATCCACGAGGCATATCTTGTTAATGTTGACTTTATTCTTCTTCAACCATGTTAGGGAGTATGGTTGTGAATGCCTTTTGAGTCGTGAGGCTGAACCTGCCTACCATCTGTGTAGATTTCATGTTCTTGTTGTTACCTCCGTTGATGATGAGGCTGCATACCTTTCCCTCGACTGTGCAACGGGAGTGGAATATATTGTGGTGCAACCACCTTTACTACCCTATAGCATTAGTCTGAAGGACCCGTCAAACCACAAGCAACTTGCGCTCATCCAGTGGAAGTTGGTACTCACCCTATTCTTCAGTCGCCTCCTTGTCACTTCCCTCCTCCACTGCACCCTGCTAGTTGAAGGGCATTGTCACGACCTATCCCGAGGCTTAAAATTAATCAAGGCGAGTACAAATGGTCGGGCGATGAAAATTAAATATTTTTATGTACATTTTTTATAGCTAACATTTTAATAATGAAAGAGTCACTAACGAAAGTAAATTAAAGCAATACAGTTAAATTTATCTTATTTATCATAGTTTGTGTATGTTATAAACATTTCATTTTTTATTGCTCATTTTTTAATTAATTAATTAAATTTAAAATATTAGTTTAAAACAACAACGAGTTAACTATAGCCAACAAATACTCATACTCTTGAGTCATAGTAATAGAAGGGAGTACGTGATACTTACGTCTTTGGTGTGATGAGAAGTTTACTCTAGGACACCGTTGCAAAGAGCTAAAATTACTAGTTCTCATAATGCATGATGAGGAAGTATAAAATGATGAAATAGAGACGACTATGAGGGAAAAGGAGGAACACTCGCTTTTTCCCACTTTGAGGACAATGTGTCTTTTGGGGGGTGGGGGGCGAGGGGGGAGTATTGTTACGTTGGCGCCTAGCTTAAGGGCAAATTTGCCTTTTATATGCCTAAGGGCAAATTTGCCTTTTATACGCCTAAGGGCAATTTAATTTGTTATTATTATTATTATTGAGTATAAATAGACTTGTTATGTCTAAGGTCAGGTTTATGCATGAGATTGAGTTGTGAGTCTTAAGCTTAGAGTTTGAGAGAGATTTTCTACATCTCTAATTGTAGGAATTGAGAGAGATCGTCTATCTCTCAAATTGTAGGTGTTTATCTTTTTGTATTTGTGTTGTATTGCTTTGATTTGGTGATCGAGAAAGAAAATTTGTGTTTGCCCTAATTTTTTTAGAGAATTGTGCCAATTTTTACCTCAAATCGTATTACGTACTCCCTTCTATAATCTCGAGTGCATTCATTTACCTGAATTAACATAATTGCTTGGTTAAAGTTAAGTTAAATTTTATATTTTATTCTTATTAATTACTTGTAATTATCGCATTGGTTCTTTCATCAAGATTAATTAATCATAAACCATTCTTTGATTTCACTTTTATAATGACTCAGCTCGGGACTTGGAATTAAACAAGGCGGGGTACAGATAGTTGGACGATGAAAATTAAGTTTTTTGATATTTCTTTTCTATAACTAATATTTTTATAATGAAATAATCACTAAAGAAAATAAATTAAAACAATACCACTAAAATTACCTCATTTCTAGTTATCCGTATATGTTTTGAATATTTCCTCTTCTATAGTTTATCTTTTAATCAATTAATTAAACCTGAAATATTAGCTTAAAATAACTGTGAGCTAACTATAGCCAGTGAATATTCATACTACTAAACCATAGTAACAAAATAAAAAAGAAGATAACATGCATGCTGTGAAATTTTATTTAAATCAATCTAAGAACATTTGAATGTTTGTACTATCTAATATAATCATTCAAGCTGATTCTAAATATTAACTGTCTTATTGTATCGTTTACCTATCAATATTTTTTTAATCTCTATACAACCATCACATAATCACCATCTAAACTTGTATCAATACAAGTGCTTCAATATCAATATAATTTTCCATTCATGTGTGCGGGCACCTTTTTGTTCCTCTGCTAGTATCATAAGTGGACGAACTCCATCATAGTCATGCATACACAAACAATCACTTTTATGTAGTCCATAAATTTCACATTTTCATGTCATTCAATATGTAATATTTAATTCTGTAATTTATAAAACTTTTTATAATGAGATTATATGACATAGGAGCGCCTAGGCTCAGCGCGGTAGCGCTTAGACCTGCGCAGGCGTGGCAATTTCCGCACACGTTCGGCTCGATCCAGGGGAAATTGGGATCAAGCCTATTTTGAGCGGGGCCCACTTTTTTTTACGCTAAAACTATTTATATGTTATTTTTTGTGTTATAGGTCATAATTAATTTTCAGATTTCTGTCATTGATATCTTTCTCCCTTGCTAGGGTTATATCCGTGAACAAATGGTGCTACGACTATATTCTGCTCAGAGGTGGTGGTTATCTCCTAGTGTTCTTCCCCTTTCCACTTCTCTTTGCTTGTTGCGCCCCCCTCCACAGTTGCTGCTTGCTGCCGCACCTTCCCACAACCCTGTACTTACTGTTCTACCTTATCAATCTAGTTTCAACTTGCTGTCGCATCCCTCCACACTCCCTTGTTTGTTGTCCATCTGCCAAACCACCACCTCTCTACCACCCAACACTCTCCGTTTCCACTGCCTCGATCGTTGCCTTTCGCCCTCAAACCTCACCCTAGGGAGTCTTTTTGTGTTTGTGTCATTGTATTCTTGTTTCAAGTGTTTTTGTGTGTAATCTTCTTTAAATTTCAACAATAATATTTTTATTCCTGTGTAATTTCTGGTTAATTCTGGCATCAATTGTTATCAGTTAGGTTAGCGCTAGTCATATCCTAGGATTTCATAGCATCCACCATAATCAAATCACCTCCACTCCAAAAATTTTCTATCATATCCTCAAATACACTCTTCAAATTCTCATACCCTAATCATGCCACCAAGGAGCACCTGCCGGAACCTATTTGGGAAGAGATATCATGAGAGATTCGTCGACGTCAGCAAATAAATGCAGAGATTGATGATAGAACCCGAGGAGAGATTATTCTCAATCGCGATATGGAAAGGGATGGGCATCTGAGTCCCTTCCATAGGGAGGACTTCAGTGATAAGGAAGACGGATCACGACACTTTGGAATTCATCATCAGAGGAGGTCATGAGAGGAGGCAACATATGGAGAACGCAAATATTTCATAATAAAAGTGGATCTATCGGAGTTCGATGGAGGTATGAATCCAGATGACTTCATTGTGTGGTTACAGTCACTTGAGAGAATCTTCAAATACAAAAAAGTGCCAAAAGATAAGAGGGTGAAGCTTACGGCCATCAGATTGAAAAAAAAAAAACCTTCTTGTGGTGGGGAAACTTGCAAAGACAAAGAAAGAGAGAAGGGAGTGACAATATTACTAGATAGGAGAAGATGGGTGATTGTTAAATGATGTGAAAACTTCGGTTTAGTCCCGCAATGGATAATTGAAAAATATGTTGGTATAGAAATATGTTTAAGCGGTTGAAAAGGAGCTTAACAATCGGTGTACTTGCTCAGCTCCAACAATTTTTATACTCTGTTGGGACTGATTCAGCTTTGTTCCCTCCTGTTTGAACCTGAGCCTTGTTGAGAAAGCCTTTATTGAGAATACACAGGCACTTCTAGATTATTAAATATTTGCCCAAACTTTGACATTGGTCTAATTAATGGATAGCCGCTACAAATTGTATTTTGTAATCATTCAACTCCATCTTTTGTTTACTTAACTTGTTGTGGATATCCGTCTTAAAGTTCTGATCACTTGAATCTGCAAGTAGCTCACTCTGAAAATCAACTAAGATGAGTGGTGCATGCCAAATGTCATAAAACAATCAAATAATTTTATTTTCTAACACAGCTTTTCTTGTTGGAATAGGACCTTGGAATTGCACGGATCTCAAAAAGCCTTCTTGAAGTCGGGAAGAGGGAGTCCAAGCAATTGGTCAGCTAAGCATTGCTTTTAGTTTCTACAAAGCTCTATTTTTTCTTAATTTTATAAATTCTATCAATTTCCAAGGTTCATTAAATGAGAATATTTCTCCAAATATAACGCCAAGGAAAGCACTCCATGCACTCCACATCTCATTGCGTTTTCATGTTCTCATATTGTTTCTCATATATGAATACCTTAATGTAAAACTTTGAATTCCATATTCAAATTAGATGTGATTATTAACGAGCTTTATTAAAAAATAGATAGCACTTTTGAATTAGATAATAATGTGAACATATTGTTTTCTGTGCTATAGGATTCATTCCAATTTCGTGGGAAGCTAGAAAACCTGCGGGTTTTTTTCTGTACTGTGTTGTAACTCATTCAAACCAGAAAAAATTTCACAAATTCAACAGCATATTTATTAATCCAAGCTTGACATCATAGATGTTTATGGAAGAATATACGCTTCCTGGACTGCATTTAATTTCATTTCTAACTTCCGTTGTTCCAACTTTCTTCGAACAGGAATAATCTCAAATGTTTTCTAACGAATGATAATTAGCGAAGCCCTTTTTTCTGCAGAAAATCCATTCGAGTTTCAAGGCAAAGAAGTTGCTTGAGACTTCAGAGTTGAGGCGGTCATCAAGAAAGCTAAAGGAAGCCCCATCATATTGTAATGATGTGCGTAATTTCTGTTTGAATATGAGTGAGAGGGAGAGAATTAAAAGTTTTATGCGAATCATGCTCTAATGGTGGTGTATTTTATCTCATAATTTGTGAATAAATGTTAGTTTCCCCACCCCGGATCTTGCATTTGTCCTTCTAGCGTGCTTTTCTACTTGCTTTTCTACTTCAGTAAACAGACTTTTTGATTCCATACATAAGCTTAATAATTCTCTTAACTTCTTTTAATTTGTTAGGAGTAGTATCACACATCTCTCCTTTTTAATGCATAATAGTGATGAGTGCAGCTGTGCACTACATGCCTTGAAATTTAATTATCTTCCTATGAAATTGGAGCCATCAATTAGAAAGATTTTTATACATTTGATTGATCACCAAAATATCTTAATAGGTCCTGAAATAATACTGCCACCAAGTTTTATAATGATATAGAAAATGAATTTTTTCAATCTTGATATCATCATCAAAGTTGAATACAATAGATAATTTTAATTTCAAGTCATAGAGACTTTTCAAATGATTTGAACTTGAATAAATGACTTGGATCATATATAGTTGCGGACCAAGGATTTTTGTATTGGCGGCAAGAGTAATATGAAAATTTTCTCAAATTCATTTGGGGTTGGGGGGCTACTATCTTTATGAAAACATTTTTGCCTGCCTAATGCATAGTTAAAATTGTACAAAAAAAATATGAAAATTGATCCACAAGCAATCAGATGCTAGAGATAAAATCAACAATGTGATTTTGAGTTTGATGGCTATAGAAGACATTACGTGCATACATAAAATTGTCTCCTGATAAGAGCAAAGTCTGTCGTCTGTGTGCTGGTGTGTGTGGAGAGAGAGAGAGAGAACCTTTTTAGAAGGATATAGTTGCGCATCTTTCAATCTTATTAATAAAATTTAAGTGGCTACGATTTAAAATAACTAGAAGACAAAATATGTGCATGTAGTTACTTTAGGCTTCTAAAAAACTGGTTCATAAAAAATTCTCTCTCGAGCAGACATTTTGATACAAAATTGATTCTAGTTTAACTTGAGATCATTTTGCATCAATTCTATATGGTTGATGGAAAAAATAAAAAAATGTGATAATCTGTGATTAAATTACCATATATTATGTGTGTTTGTGTGGACACAACTATTTAATGGGTTTACGTACGTGTTTTTGTGGGGTTGAAGAGATAGAGACGCACCTTCTTCTTTTCTTAAAACAAAGGGAAGGCCCACTTATTTTGGAGTTCAGGCAGTAGAAAACGAAAGTGCTTAGCCTGGTTTCCCCCGGTAACTTATAAAATGGTTCCTTTCCTTGTCCTTCAAGGAGACCCTCACAATTTTATATTTTACCGATCACATTATATGAAATTTTAGCAAGGCATCGCCAAACTCATTATGCTAGTTCAATAATGTATTTTAGTTTTCAATCTACTCTGTATTTAATTTTTTTCACTTCTAACTAGAACAGCCTGATATTATGAAATTTGCATCAGATAAACAATTTATCTGAATTCCTCAACTGTCAGTTACCACTAAAGGACTTGATTCATCTGGAGTGGCACCTAGTGGCTTTATTTACTTTGCTGAGTTCTATTTACAAGAAAGCCAAAGCAGACTACTGAAATGCTTAAAGGTTCTTATCAGGTTGTGAATTCTGGTAAAAGGAGAATAAATTGTCGCAGGAGGTAATAGCTTTTATCATGCTTCTTTTTCTTATATTGATTTTTTTTCTCTTATTTTATCCCATTCAAAGTTGTAAGAGCGAAACCGTTAGAAGAGAATATACTGGAAGAATAGCTTCTCATGAAGAAAAAGTTCTTGCCCTGAAGAGAGGTGAGATGCTTCTAACCCAGGTGTCATCCGATCACCCCTCTTTTGTTAAATCAATGCTTCGCTCGCATGTGTCCAGTTGTTTTTGGCTTGTACGTCTGCCTTCATTTGATGTTTATAATATATTTTTTTTATATAAAATGCTGCATTTACGTTAATAATTGTCTATCGCTTTTTTTGTTCAAGGGCCTACCGACAAAGTTTTGCAGGGATCATCTTCCTCTTTGTGAGACAAAAATGATTTTAGAAGATGAGGAGGGCGAAGAACATGAAGCCGTCTATATTGGCAGGCGCACTGGACTTAGTGGTGGGTGGAGAAGCTTTGCAGTGGACCATAAATTGGAAGATGGAGATGCCTTAGTGTTCAAGTTGATTGAATTAACCAGATTTAAGGTATTATTCTTTTTATCTTTTTTTTTCAAAATCTTATTTTCTTCCATGTTGTGCATCCCTTGATAGCAAGATAATTATACATATTGTATTGTTCTCGGTCTACTCATATGTAGTACGTGTTCCACTTTAGGTTTTAGAATGGGTCCAATCTTTTGTCCTTGGCATTGAATAGCTTCGTATTTTTCTTGGTCACCTCATGCACAAATCATATAAAAAATTCCTTTTTATACTAAAGCTAATTCTTCAAATTACAAACTAAATGGTGAATTTGCTATCAAAATATCCAAGTCTTTTGTTTTAAACTTTTGTCTCACATATCTTGTCTGCCACTGCCATGTACTAAGAAAGCAAGAACCTTTTTTTTTTTGACATAAATTTGCTATATTGAATTGCTGATGGATATATTCAGTGATTTTTATTGGAATATTTACTTACATGCCACAATTCTTACGTATTTACATGTCCGGCACCTAAAGTTTGATATTAACTTTTATAACACTACATATGCATGAAAATATGTACTTCTGCTTCAAAAAGTTGGTAATAGTGATATTTTTTATGTGATGTTAAATATTTAAGTGTTATGTATGTAAATATAGAAGTTTAGTTGTTAAACATATATATATAGAAGAAGTATGTGGTATGTAAAAATTGAGAATGAAAAATTAGTTTCTTTCAAACATTTGAGCTGTCAATAGCTAGAAAACCGATTATTATTTAGAAAATACCATTCATTTATCTTTGTTCTCATGTTTGACAAGTCCGCGTATAACTTTCCATTATTTAATTCATCAAAATGATATTCTTGTAACGAAGGTGCTAAATTAGTTAAAGCTGAAGCTTCACTAGGATTGATAACAATGTGCTACAAGCCAAAACAAAAGAGAAAAAGGAAAGCACAAGTAGTGAAGACACAAGGATTTATGAGATTTGGCTTCCACCAGGCTTATGTCCAACCATAGAAGATAGGATCCAATCCACTAAAAAAGATGCACCAAACATGGTGTACAATTTAAGAGGTGTCAATAAACATATTTCCATTCATCTCTGCGTACCATAAAAAAAAAGTAAAATAAGAGAACCATAAGATTCTCACGCAAAGAGACTACTTCATGAGGAAACTTATTCTTCTTGCAACATTGCTAAGGCCACCAATCCTTCGAAATCCTTAGACTGAAAGAGTATGCCTGGAAGAAACCTTTCTTTATAAATTTGTTGCATGAATACCAAGGAAGCACATAACCAGAATGACCACAATTTTGGATTCCAAATTAAAAAATTAATTGCTCTGTCAAGTTCACTCCATTTCATTAACACTTGTATTTGTATAGAGCCTTACAACATTTACAAATAATTCCCTAGACTCCTATTTACAAATAGAACCTTACATTACATCTTGTCACACAACCTAGACAAATCTAATGAGCTAAGTCCTTTGGTGAGGCAGTCAACCCCTTGCTCTTTAGTGGCTACTTGACTTAGTTCCAATAGACCGTTATTCAACTTTTCTTTGATGAAGAGTCTATCAATCTCCACATGTTTGGTTCTATCATGTTGCATCGGGTTGTTAGCAATGTTGATCGCTGACTTGTTGTCGCACCACAACTTCATTTGAGCTCCTTGGTCCACCTTGAGCTCTACCAACAAGGCTCTCAGCTACATCTTCTCAACAACTCCTTAGTCCATGACCCTATACTCTGCATATGTTGTTAACCTTACAACTATTGACTGTTTCTTGCTCTTCCTAGAGACCAAGTTGTCCCCTACAAACATGTAGTATCTAGATGTGGACTTCCTGTCATTCGTACAACTCGCCCAGTCAGAGACACAATAGCCCCCAATGTTTACATGTCATTTTTTCTGAAGATCAAACATTTATCCGGTGTATTTTTCAGGTACCTCTAAATATGATATACTGCATCCATGTGACCATTCCTCAGATTATGCATGTAGCGACTCACCACACTTACTGCAAATGACCCGTCGGGACGAGTGTGACTTAGATAGATGAGACGACCTACCAACCTCTGGTATCTCTCGAGATCAACTGGCTCTCCTGCCTCTGTGCTCAAATTTCTCCTCTTATTAATTGGTGAAACTGCAGACTTGCATCCTAGCATGTTTGTCTTTTTGAGCAAGTCTAGCACACACTTCCGCTAAGATAGAACAATCCCCTCTACTCCACGAGTCACCTCAATTCCGAGAAAGCATCTAAGTTGTTCTAGATCTTTTACTTCAATCTCTTGGCTCACACTCACCTTAGCTGAGCAATCCCTTCTTCATCATCCCAGTGACAATCATATCATTCACATATACAACAAGAATAGTAATGTGACCACCGTGTCATTGAAATAACACTCTGTGTTAGCATTGATCTGTTGATAACTCATGCCTACCATTGCTTTCCTGAACCTTTCAAACCATGCTCGAGGAGACCATTTCAAACCATACAATGAATTTCTCTTCCTACATACCTTCTCCACCGTTTGGTTCTTGTAGAAGCTTGGGTGTATCTCCATGTACACCTCCTCTAGCAAATCTCTATGAAGAAATACATTCCTTACGTCCAGTTGATATAAACTCCATCCACCATTTACAGATAGAGAGACAAGTGTGTTGACTCTGCTTTTCTTTGTCATTGGTGTAAATATCTCATCATAGTCGATGTCATACCCCTGACTATACCCTTTCGACACCAACCATATTTTGTAACGATCATTTTTTTCTTCTGAGGCCTGCTTCAGTGTGAAGACCCATTTGCACTCAATTGTCTTTTTCCCTGTTGGTAGCAACACGAGCTCCCATGTCTTGTTCTGATCGAAAGCACCAAGTTTCTCCAACTTTATATCCTTCTATTTTGGATCTTCTTTAGCTGCCTGCTAACACTCGTGTATAGAGACAGTGTCCAAAGATGTAATGAATGCTCCATGTAAAGGTGATATGTTAGAGTATGAGATAAGCTGAGCAATGTCATGCGAGAAACCAAAACGATTAGGAGAATAACGATCAGGAGGATGACCTGCATTGCTAAGAGAGGTCCTCCTTAAAGTCATGGGAGTGGGAGGAGAAGAGAGATGAATCTTATCATCTATGTAATAAAATTCTGAGGTGAATGGTGGAGGTATCTCAAGGTTTGGTTTAGACCAAAACAAGGGATTTGTTGGCACGAGTGGTACTGTAGACACTATTTTCTCGTTCTGTCTTTTTCCCCTTGTATACACTCTCAGCTCTCCTTGAGGTTGAGTCCCACAACCTTCGGGCTCATTTTTCTCATTTTCCCACTCTTTCTCAATCTATCCTTCCCGCACAACGAGACAAGGCATCATTCCCACCGGTACCAATCTCTCACTCACTACTTTGCCCCTCTCGCGTTGTAACTCCAACATTTAACGAGTCATCAAAGGCTGAGGTAACGTCCAAGCTGTAGTATGGTTCAAATTATCTAAAGTCACATCCATACTCACAAACAGTCTCTTTTCTATTAGGCTTCAACAAAAATGCCCTTTTTGAGTGGCAAAATAATCCAAAAAAGTACACTTCATAGCTTTAGGATTCAGCTTCTTTATTGATGGTCTATTATCCTTCACATAACATACACAATTGAATACCTTTAATGGGAGGATCCCGACATTATCTCATTTCAACAATTTACAAGGAGATCACCACTTCAACACTTTTGAGGGCATTTTGTTATTTAATTGAGTGACAGTCAAAATAGCTTGCTCTCACAAATGCTTTGGGATATTCATCGAGATTATTATGTTTCTGGTAACCTCTTGAAGATGTCTATTCATCATCTCTGCTATTTCTTTTTGTATTGGTATGTATGGACAAGCGGTTTGATGTTATATCCTCGGGGGTGACAGGTACTCCCCAAACATCTTATTGGTGTATTTTATCTCGTTATTAGAACTTAATACCTTCACTACTGCACCGTATGAGTCTTGAATCACCATGTGAAAGTATTAAAACAAGTAAGCATATCTTTTTTGTTTCTCATTAGATATAACCAAGTAACACAAGAAAAATAATCAATGAAAATCACAAAATATTTGTAGTCATTCATTGAAGTTGTTGAACAAGGTTCCCATACATCTACGTGTACCAAATCAAAAACACAAGCACTCCTATTATTAGAGCTAACATAAAAGCTCCTAATGTGCTTACCAAACTCACAGGCATCACACACAAGTTTTTGTTTATTTGTTTTTCCATACAAAAACATATAAATGACTCAATAAACTAAATGAAGAGTGTCTCATATATGTAGCAACAACATCCTCCACAGTTATTCCAGATTCTTCTACTCTAACTTGTTATGATGTGTGGAGACAAAGCATGAGAGTCTGCGCATAGGCTCTGGCTATGGACGCTGAAGCGCTCACTCAGACTTCTAAAATGTGTGTTCTTAGGTTATTCTGCTACTCAGAAGGGTTATGTCTGTTGAGCCCGATTGAGAGGAGAATCTTTGTATGTATGGATTTGTCATTCAGAGAATTTGAACCATACTACTCTCGGAAGGTGAATTCACCCATTGGTGACTCAGCAGACGTCAGAGATATGACATGAGATAGAGTGAGTAGTGGTGATGAAGTGGTGCAAGTGGAAGCAATGTCATGTCCTACGTTGTGGGAATGAATCAACTAAGGAGACATAAATTGAGGAGATTGACCTTAGAAGTTGTGAGATTCAGACTAAAAGTGAGTTAAGGGTGTATAAATGGAGGAAGAAACAAATTGAGGGAATAGAGTTTGCAGTGTCAACAAGTCTCTTGTCTCGGTATTCCCCGACTCTTGAGACACTTACACCATCCACCTTTAATTCAAAAGTCTTAGGCGATATTACTCCTCCTATGTTCAGTCTAACCTCCCAACATTAAGGAAGACCTCCCGGACCAATGGGGGACATTCTCCTAATCGTTTTTAGTGAGAACATGACATTGCAAACTTTATTTCTTATTCTAACATTTCACAATTGTATGGAGCTTTCATTGAATCATT